ACTAAACCTTAAAGCCCAAACCCTAAACCCTAAACCCCTAAACCCTAAAACCCTAAACCCCTAAACCCCTAAACCCTAAACCCCTAAACCCTAAACCCCTAAAACCCTAAACCCATAAACCCCTAACCCTAAACCCTCTAGGAATCCTGTGGCCGCTTCGGCCTTCTGGTCGAGTTGGGGTCTGCGTCCGAGCTCGGGCCGGACAGTCCGGATTTGACAACGTCGGGCTCGGGGTCACCTCATGATCCAGGGTTTAGGGTTTAGGGCTTTAGGGTTTTAGGGTTTTAGGGTTTAGGGCTTTGTGGGTTTTAGGGTTTAAGGTTTAGGGCTTAGGGTTTAAGTATTAGTAGCCTACTAACCCTAAAACCATAAAGCCCTAAACCCTAAAACCATAAAGCCCTAAACCCTAAAACCATAAAGCCCTAACCCCTAAAACCCGAAAGCCCTAAAGCCTACTAGGGTGTCGGGCCTGGATGGCCTAGGGTTTGAGAGTTCTGGAACGACAGGCTCAGGATCTGCGGTTTCGAGGGTGCGGAGTAATCTTGTTGCGGTTTAGGGTTTAGGGTTTAGGGTTTAGGGGTCTAGGGAAGACAAAAAATCTGCAGGCTCTCGAAACCTTCATGCCTCAACCTGAAGCCTAGAACCCCTCGCCCTCAAACCTGTCGACAACAAATCCCACAATCCAAAACCCTACATCCCGAGCCCTGTTAACCGAAGCCACCATGCGATTCGGGTTTAGGGTTTAGGGTTTAGGGTTCCAGAGCTCGCCTCAATCAGACTTTGAGGCGCTGGCCAGGTGGCGCCGCATTCGATGGCCTCCAGCAGTGAAAAGACCTTCACCAAAGCTTTCCAGCACGGAAGGTTTCCTGTAGTCTCCATTGTAGTTCCTTTTTTTGGTTTAACCAATTATATATTACGGATTTTATAAGGGATCCCCAAAAAGGAACTACAATGGAGACTATAGGTATGGGCTTATCTAGGGATTATAGTTCCCCTCCCCCCCCCCCCAACATGGCAAAGGTTACCTACTCTACTACTAGGCTTCTCAGGTTGGATTCTTACCGCTTTGGCTCTACCAACCGGTTTGGTGCGCTGAGGTTGCACTCTGACGACTTTCGGATCCGGGAAGGGGGGGGAGGGAAGTGAACCGCCCTTAGCATTGAGACAGGATTTTGGAACCGGGTGTCATAGGGTTTACGGCGTAATAGGGTTTACGGCGTGGTTTGAAACTGATGGTTTAGGGTTTGCACAAAAGGGGTTGTAAGCACCTTGGACACATCATGTTTTGAGCACGGCTCTGTCCAGACGATACAAGGAGCATACATGAAGCATAAAGTGGACCCCTGATTAATCAACTCACTTTCTTTGAGGGTGAGGGAGGGGGCAAATGGGCTAATGTTACTATCCCCATCAGAATCCCTTGCTGAAGGCTGCGGGTGGTATTCATTCATTAGAATCTGCATTCGTTGTACCTGGTGAAACTCTGTTTGGACTCCACTGACTCTACCCAAAGCTCTTTGTTAAAGGGTAAACCACATTGCCCCGGCAGGGAAGTCAAACTGAAGGGTGTGGGGCAAAAGATGCGGCTCAGAATTTCAGTCTGATGATGTGGTTTATGGTTTAGGGTTAATGTATTGGGCTTCTGAGCGTCACTCGACGCAAATGCAGGAGCGCACGGAGTAGCATGGCAACAAACATCCCCCAGTACAAACAGGGTGGCCATGACTCTACATATGGGTAGTTGTTAAAATTCTAGTCCCTTTTGGGGTACCCTAAATAATAGGTGCCGTATTATAATGAGGACCCAAAAAGAGACCCTGATTTTGACAACCACCCATATGGCTTTGCATTAACCTGACCGTCGTCTCCGGTATTCAACTTGAAAGAAGGGTCAGATCCCAGTTTGTAGGGTTTGGGGCTGAACCCTAACCCCTGAACCCTAAAGCCTAAACCCTAAACCCTAAAGCCTAAAGCCTAAACCCTAAACCCAGGTGAACCAGAACTCCCGAGCCCTAGGACCCGCCTCGTGGGGCATGCACCGTTGGCGCGAGGGAGTCGAAGTCGCTCGAAGATAATCGGCGGGCAGAGCCTGGCTTCGACTCCCTCAACCCTAAACTTCCCTAAACCCCTAAACCCTAAACCCTAAACCCTAATGCATGGGCCTGGATAATTGTACAATAAGGTTCTGGGCTCCTTGAAAGTATAGTCATGGGATTTTGGGGAGCCAAGGGCCAGGCCCTGGAATAACACAAGCCCTAAACCGTAAACACTAAGCCCCTAAATGAACCCTGAATCCGGAACCCCAAAAAGTGAACCCTAAATCCGAAACCCGAAACCCCCAAAAATGAACCCTAAATCCTAAACCCCCCAAAATGAACCCTAAATCCGAAACCCAAAAAACTCAACCCTAAAGAACGCTTCTCGTTGAGGCAGAGGCACCAGGGCGCGACGGCGATGCGCGAGAGGAGGGCCGCGAGTTCTGGAGTGCCGGTGCCTGAATCTGAGGCAATGATTGTGGGTTTAGGGTTCAGGGTTTAGTAGGGCCGAGGGCTCAGGGTTTAAAGTTTGGGGTTTAGGGTTTAGAGTTTAGAGTTTATGGGTTTAGGGTTTAGAGTTTGGGGTTTAGGGTTCAAACTATGGGGTTTAGGGTTTAGAGTTTAGGGTAGCATTGTTTGGAGTTTAGGGTTTAGTCCTGAACCCTTTCAGCACGGACTGAGGTGCCGGCCAGCACCCATGCAACCCTTACCCCGTCTTAAGGCAAGAACCCCTGAACGCTGCCCCCTACAGCCTAAACCCTAAACCCTAAACCTTAAACCCCAAAGACTGCATCGTCTACGCATGTCTGCACCCTCAGACCTGACCACAGAAAGCCAACACCGGAAACCGCACACTTCCGAAATGCGCAGCAACCGCTGAATGGGAACTGAGAGCTTTTTGATGTTGGGGCCTTAATAATTAGACTAGGGTGTTGGGATATGTTATACTATAGTTATAGTGAGGAACCTCCAAAATTGTGTAGGCAATTATTTCGGCCCCTGTATTAGCTACGAGGCTTTGGGCATTTATTTGCGCGCAGCCTAAACCTCTCAAATCCCGCTGCGAATGAATTTCTGCCAGTCCCATCACGACATCATCCACTCAACAATGTTCCTGAGGCGAATTGTGTACAGTGCCATCACCCAAACGCGAATATGTTTAACCTCACTTCGAAAAACAAGCTTTACTGCCCTAGACAGAAAATCCTAAATCCAGAGCCCAGCATGCTGCAGAGCAGTGCTCCTTCTGCCGTCGTAAAAGATCCACAAATACTCGTAATTTAGAGTTTATTGGTATAACTCCATCAGTTTATTCATACTTACAGGGTTATGGGACTTAGTAAGCAGGGTTATAACTTAGGTAAGTGTACTTATAACCCCAATTAGGGGACTTAAAACCTTACTTACTAAGTCCCATGATCCTCCAAGTACAGTGCTGCTCTTTTCAGGAAAATGGACCGGACGTGACAGGACCCTCTACCCCAGTCCTTTTTTCATAGACATCCCTTAAGGAAGCTACTTTAATCGACCTGTCCTGCTCTTCAAACCTGTAGCCCCTATAGCAATAACTACCAGGATCATAATCATAGACTAGTAGTATCAATAATAATAATGATAATAACAACACCAAAAACGGAAATAATAACACTTGCAACGATAACAGTCATCATAATGAGTCAAAATGTCAATGCCCTTTTCCAGGGCCCGCACATAAGCCCTGTAGATGGTGTGGAAGACTGGGCTAGTCTCGGCCAGAAAGCGAAGGACCTGGGCAGTTTGCTTCCTATATTTTCATATGATTATCCCCTCTTTTTCGTCTCGGCGATGTTCTGACTGTCGGATAGCATTTTCATGTCTTGTTTAACCATTCCTTACTTCTCCTAGTTCATGGTTGGGGTAGTATTAAAAATTTAAATGTATATTCCTTATTGGGTTTACTGTAAGTACCCTTAAAAATCTAAAATGTTACCCAACTATGACAAAGTCTCATTTCTGTTGACTGGACAAGGGTTGCGGTCTACTTGGAGGATCATGGGACTTAGTAAGTAAGGTTATAAGTCCCTAACTGGGGTTATAAGTATAGTTACCTTAGTTATAACCCTACTTACTCAGTCCCCTGATCCTTTGAGTAGGGCCTATGACGGTTTCGAGCTTCAGGCTGAGGGCTCAGACAGACTGATGGATTGAGCCGACATTGGGTTTAGGGTTTAGGGTTTGGGGGTTTAGGGTTTGGGGGGTTTAGGGTTTAGGGTTTAGGGCCCTAACCAATCCTGAAACCTAGAAACCTAGAGCCCTAAACCCTATGTACTTGACTGGTCCAATCTTCTCCGGGACTCCTGGGCAACGTCATATGCCTTCTTCTGAAGCCAAGGAACGAACTTATATACATCTTCCCAGGCCAAGTAATGTAGGGGCCTTCATGATTAGAATGGGGTGTTGTGCCCCATTATACGAGAATTGTAATGGAGAGCCTCCAAAATAGTATTGGTAATTATTGGGGCCACTACGGTATAGAAGTCCAACAGAAGCCCAAGCAAGTTCTCCGACTTGCTTGGTAAGCACTCGTTTCATACACCTTATTGCTTGCCCACGCCGTCCCTCTATGTTTCGCTTGATTAGGTGGGTGGAACGACGAATTTCAACAGCTGGTCCTCTGTCATCTCCATCCGTGCCAACTCTCTGCAAAGTCAGAGAAAGTTCAGTTTAGGGTTTAGGGTTTAGGGTTTAGAGTTTATGGTTTAGGGTTTAGGGTGGGCTGATGCTTCCAACCTTGTTCTACTTGTGTTGCCCCGCCCCCCCCCGCCCCCTTTTTGGATTGGGTGGGTTTACTGGCCTTCCCATCTAGAATCTAGCGACCTCTGGGTGGGGCAATCCTTATCCATGCACCCAAGACTAGAAGAACAGCATGTAATATAGGGATCCATGATTAGAATAGGATTTCGGGCTATATTATAGTATTTAAGATGATAAGGAACCCCCCAAAATAGTATAGGTAATTATTCAGGTCACAATAGTAAGTTGATTGAGTGGGCATCACAACACCTAACTACCTCACACCTAGAACCCCCAAACCGCCCAGCTAAAATCGAATATGAAACCTTGCACCCTAAACCCTAAGCCTTTCATCCTAAGCCTAGACCTCGAACCCTCTACCCCTGTTCGCTAGCCCCACCCAAACCCTAAACCTTAAACCCTAAACCCTAAACCCTAAACCCTCAAACAAGATGCGCGCCTCTGGCTCCAACATCTGGCCCAACAGGATCTCGCCTTTCATCAGCGCGAACCTGGGATGTGAGCTTCGGGGATAAGAAGCTAGGGCTTCACGAAGAAGTGATGCAGGGTTGAGGGTTTAGGTTTCAGGGTTGAGGGTTTAGGGCTTTGGGGTAGAAGGCCTTGTTTAAAAGGGCCCGAAACCTTGGATTTTATGGCACCATATCTGTCATTGGCCCCTAATTCCGGCAACCTTTCTTTTAAGGTTACGGCCCTAGCTGAAACCCAAACCGCAATGGGAACGAAATGTGAAGGTCCAGGTGGATCTGTTGCAACCCTCACCTTGTAATATTCAAGCCTGGACAAATAGCAAGATTCTTCCTTATGGCCCGTCAGTTGACTTGCACTCTAATTCGATATACCACAAAACCTGATGCTACTTAATATTATTAACTGGTGGCCTCCACTGGAGTTTAAGGCCGCAGTGCTTTGAGAAGGATGTGCCGGAGAGCCCAAGAGCCCAAACCCAAACCGTGCATGGGTTTAGGGTTTAGGGTTTAGGGTTTAGGGTTTAGGGTTTAGGGTTCTGCTACATCAGCGTTCAGGGCCAGACTGAAGAAAGCATACGCACCTTTTGATATTTCAGCATACCCCCTAATGCAATGAGTAGTTAAGGGTTAAGGACGTAGATAAAGATATAGATAAAGATATACGTACAGGTGTGTATATATATATATAGTCGTATACAATTACAGATATCTGGGTATGTAGATATGTACACATGTAGATATGTATATATATATATATACAGATATGTAGATACTATCATATGGTTATAGATATACAGAATATAGATATATAGCGATATAGATATGTAGGTATGTATACATATAAATAGCTATATAGAGATGTACAGATGTATTAATATGAAGATAAACTGATGTACAACTACATAGATAGATAGATAGATAGATAGATAGATAGATAGATAGATAGACAGGTAGACAAGTAGATTAGATTAGGCTAGATTAGGTTAGGCTAGATGAGATTTGATTATATAGGTGGTAGGTAGATAGACAGACAGACAGACAGACAGACAGATAGATATAGATATAGATATAGATATAGATATAGATATAGATATAGAGATAGAGATAGAGATAGAGATAGAGATAGAGATAGAGATAGATAGAGATAGAAACATAGCTCAGATATAGAGGTATGTGTATATACGTGTATATTGCAATACACAGATATTTAGATACTTTTAGACTATAGAGAAATAAAGAGAGAGAGAGAGAGAGAGATATATACATATATAGACATACTGCGGCCCAGACGTTTGAGCACAAAGCTCCGTGCCACCCTCCTTCTTTTCCGCAGCCTAAGGATGAACGAGGGCTTGGGGTTTTCAGGGGTTTAGGTTGGTTGGTTGGTTTAGGGTTTAGGGTTTTGGGTTAAGGGTTTAGGGTTTGAAGTTCAGAATTCAGGTTTTGTGTCAGTCCATTGAGCCTGTTTAAGCGATGGACCTTCGGAAGCATGTCGCCTCTCCGTGACCTGCAGTAGCCTATTCAGCACCTGGGCTTCTGGCTTAGAGTTTAGGGATACGCCCGAAGAGATACGTACGCGCTGGCGCCGAACTCCAGAGAAAACCAAAACCCCGTTAGCGCCTTGTGCCCGCCTACAAAGGAACGGTTCTGACAGCTTGTAGAACGGTCTACTTCCGTAAACCTACGCGAATCCTTACATGAAGGTTTGCTTGGTGGACAGCTTTTTCAAAAGGATCTATACACATGGGTGGTTGTCAAAATTATGGTCCCTTTTTGGGTCCTTATTATAATACGGCACCTCTTATTTAGGGTACTCCAAAAGGGACCATAATTTTGACAACTACCCACATGCAAGAACGTAACTAGGTACGGAAAA